CTATACTCTTTCTTCTGATAATGGCATCTGCAAATGCGATCTCCACTGCCTCTATCATATCCTCTTCATCTAAACAGGTGCATTTTTAACTTCGTTTCCTCACTTGGGTCTTTTATATTATATTGTTTGTTGGGATCTTTAATTATTTGCTTAGAGTTGTGATCTTTATTATCTTCTTAGTTGTGATCTGCTTTTATCTGTTTAAAGTTGTGGTTTTTATCTGTTTTGTTGGTCTATTGGGGGTGTCAATGCAGGTGGGTTTGAAGGGTAGAAGGGTGAACCAATTGCAGGGGCAGAAGTTCCACAATAACAAGGCTTCAAAGAGTCGGTTAATAGTAAGGGCAAATGCTAAAGAAATCGCATATGACCAGAAATCAAGAAGTGCCCTTCAGGCTGGTATTGATAAGCTCGTTGATGTTGTTGGTCTCACTCTTGGTCCTAAGGGTATGTTCCCTCTGCTTCATCTTTGTCTTGCAGATCAATTTAAGCTTTCCTTTTTAGTAGTATTGTTTTTATGGAGGTTGGAAGTTTTGAAGTTTGAACCAACCACATCTGCAAACTAACCCGGTTCTAAGGTCGGAGAAAGTTTTTGTCTTGCCAGCAATTTGATGACAAGAGTTAAAGTAGTCAAACTAAGATGAGTTTCATATAATCACCCAATTAACTTGGGATTTAAGTGTAGTTCATATTTTGATATCTTATGGTTTGAAACCCAATATGATAACTTAAGTTCTTTTACTTTCTCTCTATGAGCCATTTCTTTCATTTCATAGCGAGCTATATATGATTGAGGCAGATAATAAGTCCGACCTGATTATTTGTTGGATTCTTTGTAACATCCCCACAACTAGAGCTATAGATTTATTCTGTCTCGTAGTACTTTTAGCGTATCTAGTTGACTATTATGTGGTGTGCTTAAGGGAGGGAGTGAACTGAAGTAGAGAATTGATGACCATACATGTGGACGATAAGTCTTTAAACATAAGACATTTAACAGATGTATCAATGTTATATGTGTCTCCTCCAGCAGTTCTGCAATTAGTGCATTTTAACTCATGATCATCTGTTTACTTTCCTATAGGGAGGAATGTGGTTTTAGATGACTATGATACCCCGAAGGTGGTTAATGATGGAGTCACGATTGCTCGAGCCATAGAGCTACCTGATGCTATGGAAAATGCAGGTGCCGCCCTTATCAGAGAGGTTGGTCATTTTCTTCCATTGGGGGGTACTTCAAGATCGTTGTTAAAACTGTTCTGAATTTGGTTAATTGTTCTACAGACAGACAGTTTAAGAACAATTGTCATATTTATTGTATTCCTGGATTTGTGTATTTGATGCTTCCAAATTTATTATGGTGAAGGTTGCAAGCCTAACAAATGATTCTGCTGGTGATGGGACAACAACTGCATCAGTTCTTGCCAGGGAAATCATTAAGCGTGGTCTATTAAGTGTTACATCTGGTGCAAATCCAGTGTCTTTGAAGAAGGGTATCGACAAAACTGTAAACATTTTGATTGAAATGCTAGAAAGAAGGGCTAGGCCTGTTAAAGGTCGTGATGACATCAAAGGTAAATTAATCTTACTGCTTTTGCTGTTAACTCCGGCCTATAAACTTGCTATAATGAATGGCAATTAACAATTTGAAAACAATTGTCTTCCCACCAGCTATTGCTTCTATCTCTGCTGGAAATGATGATGACATTGGAACCATGATTGCTGATGCAATTGATAAAGTTGGTCCTGATGGTGTTCTAACAATCGAGTCATCCTCTTCCTTTGAAACAACTGTTCATGTTGAAGAGGGAATGGAGGTATTTACCTACTTAGATGAGAATGTGTTCTCTACTGTTTTTTCTATATCGTTGGTAGTTCACCTGTAATCAGTGGTAGATCCTAGGTTTAGATGACGTGGGGTCTGAGTTGAATGAGGGTTATCAAATATATGTCTAACTCTAACTAATACTTTGCTCTGTCTTTTTGCAGATTGATAAGGGATATATCTCCCCACAATTCATGACCAACCAGGAGAAATTAATTGTAGAATTTGAGAATGCTAGAGTGCTGGTTACAGATCAGGAGATTTCAGCAATCAAGGATATTATGCCCCTCTTGGAGAAGTCAACTGAATTACGAGCCCCTCTGCTCATTATAGCTGGAGACTTAACTGGAGAAGCTTTGGCTACTCTTGTTGTGAACAAGCTGCGAGGTGTACTGAATGTTGCTGCCATCAGAGCACCTGGTTTTGGGCAAAGGAGGAAAGCTCTTCTCCAAGATATTGCCATTGTAACAGGTAGTCCAACTTGCTTGACTTAATTGTACCACTTCCCACAAATTTGTTAGAGTAAACTAGTTTCAAAGCTGTTTGTGTTTTGTCAGGCATAATCTTGAACTAGATAATTGTCTTCAAAAAGATTCTTGAATTAGATAAATGGTTCCTCCCTTGCTTTTTTTTTTTTCTTTTCTTTTCTATGTCGAATGTGTGTTTGAGGAGTAAAGAAGGAAGTTGTAGCTGATACTGGTGGGAAGTTTAGCCAACACAATTCTTAGATAATGCTTAATTTCCCTATCCTTGGATTTATACGATTTTCCTCTCAGCTTATTTAGCAATTCTGTTTTAAGTAGAAACAATTTCTAACGTGCTGCTTGTGTATATTTTCAGGAGCAGAGTACCAGGCTACTGAATTGGGTATGCTTGTTGAAAATACCCCAGTTGAAGCACTAGGTTTTGCTAGAAAGGTGACCATCTCCAAGGACTCAACAACCATTCTTGCTGATGATGCGTCAAAGGACGAGATACAGACTAGGATTTCTCAGCTTAAGAAGGAGTTGGACATGACCGATTCAATATCTGACTCAGAAAAACTTGCTGAGAGAATTGCCAAGTTGTCTGGAGGTGTTGCTGTCATAAAGGTTGGAGCTGCAACAGAAGCTGAGCTCGAGGACCGCAAGCTTCGAATTGAGGATGCGAAACATGCAACTTTTGCTGCAATTGAAGAGGGAATTGTACCTGGTGGTGGTGCTGCTTTGGTTCATCTATCAACTTATGTCCCTGCCATTAAGGACAATCTTGAAGATCCAGATGAGAAGTTGGGGGCTGACATTGTGCAGAAGGTAAATTATGTTCAATTTACTCCTATTAAGAAATCTTTCATTTTATTCATTCTATTTTTGTGGGTATGTATTGAAGTTGAAGTTGCGGGTACCTAGTATATTATTATGGCACCTTGGTTTAGTCTTTTATGGCAATGTAACCGTTCCCAATATAATTGACTGGTAAGCTAATAACTGTATTCTAGAACTTCCAAGTCATAATCTGTTCGATATCTGAGCTAGAGAATCAGCTGAATAGTGTCACTTGACTTGGTAGGCACTAGCAACCCTTCTATAGCAAAATGGAGTTGTGCTATATCGCTAACACTGGGAGGGTATACTAAGAGCCAACCGACTCATTATCCTCTGGAGGATCAAGAACTTGCAAAGTATTAGGGGCTGAGCATTTATCTTGGACACAATCTAATTGGGAACATACAGTGATAGTACTAGATGATCAGTTCGGGTGGTATCAATTTGGATTTAGGGACGGGAAAGCACTGACGACACAGGATAACATCCAATTAGACATAACTGTGCAGAGCACTTCCTGCATATACAGGAGCTTACTCTGTTTTTTTATTTATTTATTCTTTTAGCATTTTGTTGTCCTTTATTATGATTTCTTATTGGACAAAATCCATGTGAGAAAGGAAAAGATTGTAACTAGTGAATGCTTATTGAACAGTGTGCATTTGGATGAATCTCTTACGAAAAGCAATACATATTTTTTAAAAAAAATATTTTTATTTGTGCATGCAGGCATTAGTAGCTCCGGCATCTTTGATAGCCCAAAATGCTGGGGTTGAAGGGGAAGTAGTTGTGGAGAAGATAAAGGCAAGCAAATGGAAGATGGGTTACAATGCAATGACCGACAAGTATGAGAACTTAGTAGAAGCTGGTGTCATTGATCCAGCCATGGTAACAAGATGTGCCTTGCAGAATGCAGCTTCAGTTGCAGGAGTTGTACTCACTACACAAGCCATTGTCGTGGACAAGCACACGCCTAAAGCACCTGCATTTGCTCCTCCACAAGGACTTCCTATGTAATCTATGATTATACAGCAGTAGTTAGGAACTTTGGGCAATGTTCAGTTACTTATATGTGCCCTGTTATGGCAGAGATTAGTGTTGACAATGCTCGAAGGATTAAAAGATAAGACCATTTGAATTTAAGCTGGCGTTCAGTTTCTGGTTGTCATAAGCTCATATTAAAAAGTACATTGTTTGCTAGGATTAGCTGTAAACTTCTTCACTTTAGGATGAATAAACTTTTCAGTTATTCACTGTCGTCTCTTGAGTTTATCATGGTTTTCTTCTTTGGTTTTACTTGTTTCTTTGACCAGGCCACTTTGCAAAGTTCTGTTGTGTATGATTGACAGTCTTACCAAGGCACTTTGTGCTAGTGCATTGCATTAAGGGCTCGTGTGGGGTGAAATTTACTTCCTCCGGGTTTTTACATTAAATCAGGTTAATTTAACAGTTGACAATTTGATATTGGTTATGCAACCCCATGCAAGTAAATTATTTTTCGTTCATATTTGTGTTCATCTCCTTTCCCGTCTACTTCATTTCTTCAAATAGCAATCTCTATCTTTTTTCCCTGTTCTTTTGGTGAAAGTGAACAAATCTCAAAATAGTGTGTTCTTACTCTGCACAATAAAGTTTCTTTAGGGCATTACCAAAATTTCCCACAGAAAAGAACAAAAATCCAATACTCTCTTTACTTCATTTTATAAAGTGATGTTTCACGACATTTCTGTAAGCTATAATAGCTTGTCATTAAAGGTAAATGAAAAGTTTTAAAGTTAGAAGCTTACAATTATAGAAATATAAGTAATTTTTCGGAGTAAACTAGAAAGGAAGGTGAAATAAAACATAATAGATAGTATAAGATTTTACAGCTCAATCGCTTTCATGCTCAAAGGACAAGGACTGCGTTTGTGACCAAGTACCACAATCAAAAGTGACTTTTTAATGTGTGATCAAGAACAATGCTAACTGGTGACTTAACCTAAAGGCTCAGAACAATGCTAACTTGTGACTCAACCTAAAGGCTCTGGACTGAATGACATCGAATTCTACCATCCAGGGTTGCAATTAACTGAGGGACATTCCCTATGTATTTCTTAATAATAAGCAGACAACTATGCAGGCTGCTAGGATTTTAAGAGAATCTCGTGCAACTTCAGGTGCTTTAACTGACAAGCAAAGGTTTTTCCGATTAGCTGGAAGTACTTGCCAAGTGAGTTGGTTCCATTACCAGAGATGGTAAAATTGCTGTTGCCTCACCATCAATTACTAGAGGACCATCACATTTGAAACATTTTGTTGACAGTTTTGCGCTGGACCATAGAGAGCAATGCAATTAGGAGCCACAAAATATGGTATCGAACTATAAATCTTCAGCCAAGAGGTACTTACATATGCTTGTTTTTCATTTGTCTAATGCTTGATGCTTGTACCTCAGCAATGATCTCATCTCCAATATAAACAGGTAATTTGAAGTGCAAGGTTTGTGAAACATACACAGCTCCTGGCTGGAGAAATTACCAAACAACAATAGTTAGAGTTACACTAAAGAATTTTCCAATTTAAAACCAGATCTACATAGTACCTTCGCCATTCAACAATGTTGCATATTTAGCTACTTTAAGAAATATATCATCATATTTACTCTTAAGTATATAACAAAAAAGTTTAAGGATCTGTTAAGCTATCGGTGTAGGTTAACTAATTATAGTAGGTTGTGTGTACCTTCTTTTCGACATGAACAACTAAAACTTTAACTTCTACTTGACTTTTAATTAACCTTATAGTGTTTAAAACCTATTTATCCTACCATTCTATGAATATTAAAGTCTTGGCTAAGTATTAACAAAGTTTTGGATTTAAATTAGATACACTAACGTGTAGTTTAATTGTTGTATCATATTATTTAACCATCATTTTCAGGTAACTAATCCATTGTTACCATACAAGCTACATGTATTTGGACTTTTACTTAACTAACCAAATAGTGTCTTTTACAATGTCATAAAGTTTTTAAGTTCTTAAGAGAAGCAACGGGACAGGATTGAGGAATGTAAAACTTACAAAATGAGCAGCAATAATCCTAGGAAATAAGGAAGCGACAAGCATCCCAGGAACAAGGCGGTCACTAAAACCAGCATTTTTGGCGCATTCAGCATCAAAATGCAATGGATTGGCGTCGTGTGTCAGCTTGGAATACTCAATAATATCAGCATCTGAAAATGTCCTTGCTTGCTTCAAAATGCTTCCGCTTTTTAACAAATTCGAGGAGGTGGACAACGATGAAAAGCCATATGAAGAAGAAATAGAAGATGACAGGATACGTTTTATAAGCATCTTTCTCAAACTTCAAAGGCAACACAAAATGATAATAAGGCAGAAAATAAGGACTCTGAATGCGGTTAAGTGAACCCACTGACAGATTTTTATTAAATACGAATGGACAAAGAGCGATTGAAAGATATATGAAAATCTGAAATCTCTTTGAATCAAATAGTCGAACAGACTGTGTACAACCTGCGGGTTGGAAGATCCCTGATTAATCCCCGTGCCAATTAAACCACAGCTAGCTAGTCAGAAACTAACCCGATTTTACAGCCCAGATTTTGAATTTTTGGATTCCCAGTCCAATTGCAAAATCGGGTGTTAAAGTTTTTCACGACCAAACGTTACCGAAAGACTTTGGGCTAAGGCTAATGCGCAATCTCGCTGTAATGTAATCTGGATCAGAGTGCTACCTCTCTCTGGTTGGTTTGTCGACTAGAGTTTTAGGGATTTTACCTAAATAGTCCAGTCAGTCAAATTTATTATTTTCTAACCGATATACATAGGTTATAGTATATGATTATACAGATATTATATATGAATTATACATATATAATATATCATATATTCACCTGCTACTTTTTATTTAAACGGTTAAGTGGATGGCTATTTAGGCTAATTTAAGTTGAGATATGATTAATGGAATGATTGATACATCATTTTTTAACGCAGTTTGATTAGTTCTATTAACATTAGCATATTCAAATTCAGACAAGAATGAGTTCTACTAACATTTGCCTACTAAATTCCACATTTTGAAATAAAGAATATTTACCTATCTATATTACATTATAAACTTACATATCCTTGTTAGAGAGGTTATTACTTAATTAAAATTTTATATGCAAATTACTACTTGTTGGCCTAAGTGAAGGTTAGTTTTAAAAATTGACAAAGGAAGTTCAGGCATGAACCAGGTCCATCCCTCAGGTCCATCCCCTGTGTGCATAAACACGGGCATAATCGAGTATGTGGGATGCACGTGAAGGAGATAAGCTTAACTTGGTCGAATTAATATCTCCTGATCGAAAAGAGTTGCATAATTGATAAGGAGAATGACTCCTTAATCAAAGAGAACACTATCCAAGATAAGGGAGGAGTTAGAGGTTGAGATCAACTAGAACTCTTCCACCAAGGAGGAGTAGCATTAGAACTCTAGTTGTTTTCTACTCTACTAACTCTATAAATCGCAGGATGTTCTCATTCTATAGGGGACGCACAAAAGTAGAAGTTAAACGTGAATTGAGAGCAAAATAACAAGGTATTTTGCAAGCAGTTCGTGTGTGATTCAAGTGTGTGAACCTGAAGATACATGAACCAGATAGAAGAACCAGCTTCAAGTGTCTGTCTTTTATTCTAGTTCAATTATAGTAGGTGTTTTCATATTGTACCTTTCAGCTTTATATAGAGACAATTGTAATAGGTACTCAAAGTATTCAAATTAGAGTTAACTTGAAGTTGTCACAGCAGTTAGAGGCTGGTTGCCACAACGGGATTAGAGTTAATCCTAGGTTTATAAAAGTGTTTTGTAAATGCAGTTTTTGGCTCAGTGATTTATTGGAGAGTTTGGAAAAATCCTACTGGGAAGTAGGCCGTATTTTTTTCACCTTTTGAGCCATGTGTTTTCCACGTAAAAATCTCTGCGTTCTTTATTTTCTGTACTTATTATTCCGCAACAGTAGTAGTTGGAACACATAGAAGAACCATGTCCTTCTATAATCTGTGCACGCGAAAAATTAGACACCACACAAATCACCCCCTCTTGTGTGGTATTGACGTATAAAATATTAATTGGTATCAGAGCAGGTTATCCTTGAAGAGGCTAACACCTTAGGAGAAGATCAAGATGAGTGCACCATCTGGAAATTGGGAAGGGCAATCCACTGCTAGGCCACCACTCTTCAACGGCCGGTATTACTCTTGGTGGAAAAACAGGATGAGAGATCACATCATAAGAGAAGACTATGAGCTATGGGTCATTGTCACAGATGGGCCATTGGCTACCATGAAGATAAATGCCGAAGAAGAAGAGGTGCCAAAAACAAGAGCTGACTGCACTGCTGACGACTTGAGAAAGTGGAAGAAGAATGCTAAGGCCAAGAAATGACTTGTGTGTAGACTTGGTCCAGACGAGTACAGCAGAATTCAAAGTTGTACTACTGCTAAGAAAATTTGGGACACCTTGCAAGGGGCTCATGAAGGAACTGCTCAGGTGAAGAGGTCCAAAGGTACTTTACTATATTCTCAATATGAGAATTTCTCTATGAAGGAAGGAGAGACTATCCAAGAGATGTATACAAGGTTCACCACACTGACTAATGAACTGAAGTCTCTTGGAAGGACTCTTCTTGAAGAAGACAAAGTTGAGAAGATTCTAACTAAGGTTCTACTAGTTTCTTGGGAAAGCAAAATCACTGCAATTCAGGAATCTAAGAACATTGCAACTCTTAAACTGGATGAGCTGATTGGAAATCTCACTGCGTATGAACTTAGAAGGCAGACCATGAAGATGGATGTGCCCAAGAAGGAAAGGAGCCTGGCACTCAGAATCACTGAAGGTGCTGATCTGAAGGAAAATGAAATGGCTATGATCACCATGGACTTCAAGAAATACCTTATGAGAGGAAAATGTTCTTCAAGAGGTGGAAATTACAGCAAAGCAAGGGTTCCTGAAAAAACGACCAATGAGGGCTGCTACAAGTGTGTGAAGACTGATCATTACATCAAGAACTGCCCTCAATGGGAAATTGAATGGAAGAAGGAAAGATCTGAACGAAGGAACATGAATAAGGAATAGGTTCATCCCAAGAAGAACAAAGGATCAACAAAGGCTATGGTTGCTGCTTGGGGAGAAAGTTCAGATGAGGAATTAGATGGTGAAGATGGATATGAACAAGCACTTATGGCAATTGGAGAATCAGATGGGGAATCTCCTGAGGAATCTGAGGTAAGTATAATTCATCTCAAAGACAAGATTAAGTTTTTGTCTAAAGAAAAACTCTCTGAATTACTTCTAGATTTCATTGATGAATCTAGGGATATAAACAATGAAAAGAAATAGCTGTCTAAGAATGTGTGATCTTAAAAGCAAAGTATAAGAACCTGGAACTTAGAGTTAGTGAGACTGTAAGTAAAAATACTGCACTAAAGAACCAGGTTTATGCATTTGAATCAAATGTCCTAGAACTTAGATTTGAAAACCTAAAACTGAAATTAGGAACAAGTAAGAAGACAGCTGATTGCACACAACTCACTCTAGAAGAAAATGTAGGTAAACTAAAAGATGAGTTGTATAAGAAGGATGAGCAGGTAAGAATTTTGGCAAAGGATCTAGGCAAGGTCAATCATGAACTAGACAAAACTTGTAAATGGAACAGGTCCTCCGATGCTTTGTCATGGCTACAGGAATATCACAGTAGCAATAGAAGAGGACTTGGCTTTGGGAATCAGCTACCTAAGTGGGATCCTAAAATAAAGTACCTCACTCTTCTTGAGAACAAGATTTGTACTCACTGTGGTAAGACTGGTCACTATAAAAGTGAATGTAACGCAAAAGAAAGGGCCAGTCAAAAGAACAAAAATTTTGTTCAAGGGAAGAATTGGTTACCAAGTTGGGCTAAAAAGAATTTAATTCATCCTTTTGCTTATAGAAAGGGTCCCAAACTAGTTTGGGTTCCTAAGACTAACCCCTGATTTCCTTTTGCAGGTCCAAGTGAAGGGGAGCAGCCAAATATGATACATGGATAGTGGCTGCTCAAAGCACATGGCAGGAAGCAAGGAACATTTCCTTTCACTTGAAGACCTCAAAGGAGGTAATGTCTCCTTTGGAAATGGGAAGAAAGGTGAGATCATTGGGATTGACAAGGTAGGTAAGACTGACTCTCACTCGATTGAGAATGTCTATTTGATAGACGACCTAAAATATAGTCTAATTAGTGTATCAAAACTATGTGATAGAGGTAACTTGGTAGCATTCACCTCTAATAAATGTTTTGTGATAAATCTTATCACTGACAAGATTATTTTGCAGGGTAAAAGAGTTAATAATATATATATATATATATATA